ACACGATCCAACCTCTATCTTCTCTGAGAAGTGAAAGGTTACCCAGAGTTGGGGGAAAGGGCTGCAGTGAGATTGGAAGCTCACAAAGAATGTTGACCTAATAATTGAAAAAATGTATATCAAAGGTTTAAATAATAATTAGACAACTAAGGCCATGCTGTTTTCAGGGGAGTTTTAACTAGGAGCTCACTCTCCTGTGACTGCTTGTACCAAGTCTAGATAAAGAAAATGACCAAGCTGCAATCTTTCTGGACCTCTCCAAAAGCAATCTCAATCACTGAGTGATCATCACCTGACACAACTGGGGTAGAACTGATTCTGGCTCTCCATTATCTGAGATAAACATCCCTACAATCTTATTTAGCATAAACACTGACCTGACATGGGGCAGGCTGGTAAGATGAAAGTTGAGTCATGACATATGTATTAAGCTGAACACTGAGTTTGACACTCAGAGGAACAGCAAATTAATTCAAGACATATATCTTGCCCTTAAGGGGCTTACAGTATTGGCTTGGCTGGAGGATCACCCAACATCTATTAAGATGGAGAAATCAAATCTCCACTTTGGGCTCACTATACTGCACAGAGTGACAGGCCAGGAGACTAAAAGGGCCTTGGTGCATATGGAATGCATGCCCAGCCTGCAGCCCCTCAATCTATGTGTATTAACTCCGCAAGCAGCCTAGTTGCAGAGTGAAGGTGGTTGTTTGTGTATAAACATTGTCATTTTGCTGAGACTGCTACTTCATCTTTGAACCTTGGCATCAAAGGAACATTGACCTTATTCCTGAAGCTTGCCTTTCTTTGAAGCGTATGGCTTTGCATTGCAGATTAAAGTGAAGACATTCATCAAGGAACAGATCTGGCCAACTGCTCCCCAAACTCAACCTGAAACACAACCTTGAAAGGCTCCTATCACAGTTGCTGTGGAGTGGGCTAAAGATGAGGGCTTGAAGCCAAGCTCCTCTTTCTCAGATCCTATAAAGCAGCTCCCATGTGACACAGCTCCCTTTGAGCTTTGGACAACTTTGCCCTGAGAGTCAGTCTATCTCTGCAGAAAGGGGAGAGCTAATGCAATATCCCTAACCTGTCCTACTCATTTTATTTAAAGCAGATATTGTAGTAAATGAGGCCAGTGTGATTATTCACTGCATACCTTTGAATTCTTCAAAAGATGTGTCAAACAAAACCACCTGAAATTTGGTTGATGATTCTGTCAATTTGCTTTTCTACTACTTTAATTTGTTCATTCCATTGAAAAGAAACTGTCCTATCTTTCTCCCTTATTCTTCTATCTTGGTTCTAAGAAAAAATACCATATATGTAACATTCTTTGTTGTTTGTTTTTGGGTTGTTTTTTTTGTTGTTGTTGTTTGTTTGTTTGTTTGTTTTGCTTAAAATGGCAAGAGGATTAACAGGAGAAGCTTTAACTGTGAGGTTAGAAAAAAGTAACCAAATAATTCTTTAATTATAAGGCAAAGAGAGAACTAAGGGAAATCTCTCCCATTTCAGGGGGAGAAAAATTGATGACAGATGATTGAGGACAAATGATCATATCTTTAAATGTAATCTTTCTGGAGATCTCCAACTGTGATCAGATAAACAGTATGTTCTGTTTGTGATGAAACAGTAAACCAATCCGGAGGAAGGAAGGAAATGATTATAAAGTTGCATGCATGTAAACCAACTGATTCTGATAAAGTGCACACTAAAGGGTGAAAGAGATTGAAAATCCTTGTTGACACATAAGCTAATTGTCTGAATAATGCTTTCCTAATTATTCATCTTTGAAATAAAACCAAAGGATAATTCTGGTCATTATGAAATAATCTACTGCATTTTTTTCTTAAATCTCAAATAATTGATTTTTTTTCCATTAAGAAATGCTTGAAGTATAAGAACATAATTAATATGTAAACTTTGTAGGAAGTTTGTGGGTCCAGACTGGTTTTTTCATATGCCCCAGAAGCTAATGTAGGACTGGATGCTACTTCACATAGCTTCTGTTTTAAAAGGTTGAAAGACACCTGCTTATCCAAAATCTGTATTCCTTAATTTAGCCTCTACTTCTTGGAGTGTGACCATATGACTAGTTTTAGCCAGTAGACTGTAAGAAAGATGTTAACTGTCACCTCCTGGCTGGACCTCCCTTTCTCTCTACCTAGGCCATGTGTTGAGATGGCAAAGTCCAACCTGGAAGTAGCCCAAGTGATTTCCTTGTGGATGAGAACTGTGTAGAAGGATGATTGATTTGTATTAGACTTGATGCAAGCAAGAAATACATTGGTTATGTTAAACTACTAGGATATCCAGGGGTTATCTGTTGTTGTAGCATAACCTACCTCATCCTGACTAATCCAGGACTTTGGAGGACATCTAGACCTTTTTCACTTCTGTCATAAGCATCCTTCCTATAGCATTCCTGAGAAGTGATTCAAATACTTCTTGAACACCTCAGAAACAATAACAAATAACAATATAAGGGACACTATGAAAGTGTTGAGATACACAAAAATTAAGAAATGTAAAATCATTTTGATTACTATTATTTAACCATATTTGAAAACACTCTTTCCACTCATTTTCTTCAGGTCCTATAAGATCACATAACCATAGGTATGAATAGTTTCTTCAGGGCTGGAAAACCTTCTTTCATGTGTGGGATTTTTTACTGTAGGAAAGGAAATAATTGCATGGGGCTAAGTCAGAACTGTAGGGTAGATGAATCATAAATGTAACCCCTGTGGACTCCAGGAACTGAATGGTGATGTTGGCTGTGTGGGTGGACACAGTATCATTGTGCAAGATGGTCCCTCCCACTCCTGTCTTTAGATGTTGTTCTTGAAGCTTCCTAAAAACTTCTGGTAGTCACACTGTTGTGTACCACTGAGCAGTGAC